TTGACTGGGTTATTTACTTTGTTGAGTCCCTTCAGCTCTTTGTAGATTGTTGTGATCAGTCCTTTATTTATCATTAGCGTTGTGTGCAAAAATTTTCTCCCAGTTGGTGGGGTGTGTCTTTGTTTTGATTACTGCCTCTTTTGTTGTATAGAAGCTCTTTAATTTGATGTAGGTATTGGAACAAGAACAGACATGCAGACCAATGGAACCAAATAGAAAATCCAGAAATAAACCCACAGATTTACAGTCAACTAATCTTTGATAAAGGAGCAAAGAATAGGCAATGGAGCAAAGAAATTTTGTTCAATAAATGGTGCTGGAAAAACTGGGTTGCTACATGCAAAAGAAAGAAGCTTGACTACTACCTCACACCATGCACAAAAACCAACTCAAAATGGATTAAATAACTAGACATAAGACCTGAAACCATAAAATGTATAAAAGGAAATATAGGTGAAACAATACATGATATACACCTCAGCAACATCTTTAAAGATTCATCACCCAAAGCAGTGATAACGAAGGCAAAAATAAACAGCTGGGACTAATCTATGCCCTTCTTTATGTAGTCCTTTCTCTTTACCCTTACAGACTTCCACAATCATTTGGTATATTCTTGTAATAGTCTTTGCCAATACCAAGATATTCTGAACTCAAAAAAAAAAAAAAAACACTTAGAAGGATAGAAACAGAGATGATGAAGGAGATGAGCCTCATATAGAAGTAGAGGGGTAGATTTTGGAAGGACCAGTGTCATTTCATGCACTTTCACAAAAATAAGACCGAGTCCATGGGTACACAGTATTGGAGACTAGTATGAACTGTCAGAAGAATTTAAACTCTTATGAATGTATATCTTAACATCTTTATTTTCTTTTCCATCTGAATCTTAGGAGTGTGGTGCATGTAGAATTTGATGTAAGAGAGGAAGTTTACTCATTTAGAGAACTTATGCAGAGATTATGGCTGTAATGTGATTTTACAGAGGATCCTACTTGAAATCTCTGTTCATATAATTGAAGTGAAATTCATAAGCATGGTTCAGGGATTTCTCCAACTCTGTTTTAATGCCCCAAATGGATTTTTTGAGCTTGATACAGGCTGAGAGTGGAGTTTAATTAGGATGGATATTCACTAGTTAAATTCAAAATGGTATCACACTATAGGAGGAATGATGTTATCAATAGATGAATAACAGCTACATCTCAACATATATCTATGCTTATAACTGATCATATTCCCATGTGTTAAGTAATATATAAAATTTATCTAATTTTCCATATTATAGTATTTGTAAAGATATATAAAGTATAAATTTATGTAATAGAGCAAAACAATCTTAAATAATATTTTAATTAATTTCTTAAAATAAGATTGTAATTTTAAGAAAAAGTCCAGCATAACTTTAAATGTATTGCCCTGAATTACAAATCTGGGGATTAAATTCTATAGAAAGAAGTCCTAAGTCTATTGAGCCCTTCCTCTTCAGCAGGTATAATATAAACAAATGTTTATATCACACTCACTTAAATCTTAGGACTGTCTTTAGACTTGGCAACAAGCTATTATCTTACATAAATTTTAATCTAAAGTGCAACAGTTTGCTTTACCATCCTATACTAAAGGACAAATTTCCACTTCATTATAATAGTTGAATAGATTAATATTTTCATAGGTCAATTGTATTAGATCTCTACAAATAGAAGCAAATGTTCTGATATAACAAAAGTTGCTCACAATCACCATTAATTTCCTTTGCAATTTGCCTAGCATACACAGAAAACTGCCCCTGATACTGATACTTCTCTTATGTATCTGGTCCCAGCACTTTAGTTTTCTAACTCATTAAATGAGAAGTCTTCAATAACACTATCTGACTTTATTTACAGTTCTCAAATCATGTTCTGGAATAACTCAGTACAATGCACTTTGCTCTAATTGTTCTGGGCTTCAGCAGAAACGAACAGCATTGATCAATTTGATTGATTTCCTGTAACTAATTGCAGAACTTAGTTATCTCCAAATAAGCAGAGTCAAGTGTAATGACCAAGGCTTGGTCTCCATGGACTTAGACAAGAGGGATCAATTATAGGAGAAAGAGGACATTATAGAGTTGATAGTGGAAGTTTATATAAATAAATTGTAGTAACTCATCTTTTTGACTTCCAATAGTAACAACCGAGAATCAGATGTGAAATGTTTTAAGTTGGAGCAAGCAAAAAGAAAGGAAGATGATGTAACAAATTTCATACACATATAGAGAAATAGTTCATTAGAAATTCCAACAAATCCTAACAAGATATAAGTGTGCCATAAGCTTATGTTTTATGAGCAGGACAGTGAGGAATAGATGTTACTAAACATCCTTAACTTTCTTTCTCATGAATTTAAGTAGATAATAAGAGGTTCGCATGTCAGAAAGTGAGTTCTGTTTTGACACAGATCTACTGATAAGTGAAAATATCTGTTAGCATAGCCAGAAAGACATATTGGGGAAGTTTTGTGCCTAAAGATTTTAAATAATTCAATGGACTTTCATCAGGAAATGATGCCATTATAAATCTACATTGTCTTCCAAAATACAAGCCTAAGAACTTTGAACAAGGTGAGTCATTTTTTAATCAATTTGATCGGGATTAATTTTAGCATTGTAGTTTGTTGGAGGTATGTTTTTCATATTTGGGGAAGCATTATTTTTGTCACAGAGAATATGTTGCTCAATCACAAATAGGAAAAGCCAAAAATGAACTTAAAAAATGAAAAGAGGCAAATGGAGTGGTGATGTGTGGCCCCACATTGAAGTGATGTGTTTGACCTTAACTAGACATTTGATTTCTCTGAACCTAGGTTTGTCAGTGGTTACACATATTGAAATGACGAAGGAGATCAATACGTATTACCTATAAAGGATTAACCATTTGCTGGACACACTAACACTTATCATCTATATAGTCATAAGTTTTGAGGCTAAGACAATTTACTTATTGGTTTTGGGATGCTTATCTATAAGAATGTTTAAAATGCACCTCACTGTAACTTTTGCAAAATAAAATGAGAACTATGTCATTGCTACATTCATATACAAAAGGCTCAGTAAGTTTAGGTACTCTTTTATCTCTATAAATGTTAACAATATGCTTAAGATGAACAAGATGAGATTGATAAAAATTGTAACCAATTTTCTCAATTCAATGTAAACAATCAATGATATTTCATGTTATTCCAATCTATTAAATAAGGTCTCATAATAAAAAGTTCATTAGGCTTTACTATAAATATACTCTGAGTTCTAGCTCTGATATACCCCATGTCCTAAAAATTCAAGTGTCAGTTTTACTTGAATATTGAGTCCACTCAAAGTAACTGTTGCCTTCTATCACCTAGCAACATGTCCTATTTCAATTCAGAAAGAAAAAATCATTGTGTAATTATCTTCAATATTTATGATACCCTGAGCTCTAATATATGCAATAATAATAAAATACAAACATGTCTTTCTAAACATGGAATTCATAATCTCAGAGTTTTGTCATTCAGTACCTTCTATTGGAATATCACTTTCTGGGAGACTTGTTGGTATCTTTCTTTGTATTAAATTTCATTAAATGAAGCAAATAGGAAAGTTTTGTCTCTAAGTCCAAGTCCCATATCCTAAAAACAGATTTTTAACTGATCTTGTCATTTTTATGATAATGAAAAACATTGGTTTAATTGTAAAGCAAAATTTTAGTTTATTTCATCAAACAAAATAGTTGAGGGTTATAAAATACTTGAGGGTTACACAATTCTACAACACATGCATCAAATACTGATTTTTGAAGTATTCATGTCTTATGGAATGAAGTATCATATTAAATTAGTTATGAAGAAAAATTGTCATTTCACAAAGCACACAAAATAATAGTGCAATATCTTCTTGATGCAGGAGAGGAGTAACATTTCATCAGGTAATGCTGTCACAGAATATCCTGATTTGCCCTGATCTTAATGTTTTCTGTTTTAAAACCAGGGCAATGCCCAGCATAAAAGTAAAATGCAGAAAAGTGTTGTGTTGGGCAGACTTAACAAATATGATAGATGTAGCCAGTGAACAGATGCTCCTGTATCAGAACCTTGGTAAAAGTCATGACAGGTCACAACAGTGATTGCTAAACATCCGGTCATCACAGCCATGAGTCATGACAAGACATTTTCATTTATTAATCTTAACTCTCACAAAAGCATCAACATCAATTGTGTACAGAATCCATAATCTGTGACATATTTTATTTGTGATTTACCTACATAAAGAACATGCCACTGAACACAGGTGCATTTGATTCTGGGTTCTGTGAGGTCATCAGGAAATGGAAACATGACAATGGAAGAGAGACTATTCACATCATATTTTGTGATTAGAGAGGAACTTAAAAAAACATGTAATGGCTTTGCTATCAAGAGCGTGATTTTGTGTGATGGTCACATTTTTGATAAAGGCAAAGAAGTAGGGAAGTAAGAAGCAGGGAAGCAAGGTTAATTTATCTGAAATAGGCATGTTGAGGAAGCCAGCTAAACTGAAATAAAGCCATTTAAAGACAGGGAAGGCATAAGTAATACAGGCCTTAGAATATAAACAAAAAGATTTGGAGTTACGTGTGCCAGTTACTCTTTTGGTATGCTGTGTTAAATTAATGTCCATGGAGGAAGGCAACCATTTCTCTGACTTGATAAATCAAGAGCTCTGTTCCTGGGCATGAGTTATCTAGAGAGGAATGTTTTGGTGGCCTTGGGATCTGTGCTGGCTGTGATAATGGGCTTTCTACTTAAAAGTCACTCACTGAGCTGCTACCAGAGAAAACTTGATGAGCAGAAAGCTGTCATATTCAATGAAAAGCAATTTGTTCTTTTCTAGCATTTATAAAGTCAGAGCTTTCTATGCAACTGCTTTGTTTCATTTCATGTTCTTCACACTGTTTTTGCTTTTATTCTTTCAAGGAAGTTTAACAAGCAGTTAAGTTTTCATGGAGATATGGAATCAAACTTCAAATGATTTCATTCTGTTGGGGTTGCTTCCCCCAAATCGAACTGGCTCACTTCTCTTACTCCTTATCATCTTCGTATTCTTTCTCGCTTCATTGGGGAACTCAACAATGATTCACCTCATACGCGTGGATTCCCGGCTCCACACTCCAATGTACATTCTCCTCAGCCAGCTCTCCCTTATGGACATGATCTATATCTCCACCACTGTCCCCAAGATGGTGCTCAACTTCTTGTCAGGTCAGAAAACGATCTCCTACCTGGGATGTGGGGTTCAATGTTTCTTCTTTGTAACTATGGCAGGGTCTGAAGGTTTAATCCTGGCTTCTATGGCCTATGACCGATATGTGGCCATCTGCCACCCTCTCCATTATCCCATCCGCATGTGTAAAATGAAGTGTGTGAAGATGATCATAGGAACTTGGATGTTGGGGATCACCAATGCTGTACCACACACATTCTATGTTCTCCATATTCCTTACTGCCGGTCCAGGGCCATTGATCACTTTTACTGTGATATCCCAGCCATGGTGACTATAGCCTGTATGGACACCTGGGTCTATGTCTATGAGTATATGGTTTTTGCGAGCATAGTTTTCTTTCTCCTCATTCCTTTCCTTGGAATCACAGCTTCCTATGGTCGGGTGCTATTTGCTGTGTACCATATGCGCTCCAAAGAGGGAAAAAAGAAGGCCTTCACCACCTGTTCCACACATATAACTGTGGTGACATTTTACTATGCACCTTTTATCTATACTTATCTCAGGCCAAAGAGTCGCCGCACCCCAGAAGAAGACAAGATTCTGGCTGTTTTCTACACCATTATGACCCCCATGCTCAATCCCATTATCTACAGCTTGAGAAATAAGGAAGTTCTAGGAGCCATGACAAGAGTATTTCCAATATTCTCCTCCAAGAAGAAATAATCATGGCTGCTCTTACTCATCTTTTTTTCCCTGTCCATATTTACTAGAACATCTGAAAACACCACTGTCTGATAGAAAATCAATGTGATTCACCTATGTAATTTAATATTTTCTAGTAGCCATATTTAAAAAAATAACTTACCAAACTATAATCTGGTGTTCGAAAATGTTATAATCAATACTGGAGTAATTATACATTGTTATAATATATGATATGAAATAGGTTGTATTGCTTATATCTGCATATATATATTACTATTATAACTATATCATAATAATTGACATATTATTACTACCATATATGATCTATTATAAAAGTTAATGCATCTCCACTTTGTTTTCATTGTAGTAATTTAAAGTCTTGTTTGCATTTTATATGTAAAGAATATGACAGTTCTGAATAAAAATATATGAAGTGCCCAATTGTTTATTATGTTCAACATGTTATGTTCAACATGTTTATTATGTTGAACATCACTGAATTAGAATATCCAATAAAGTGTTTGTTAAATAAACATATATACAAAAATCCATGCCTTTATTCATTATTCAATTTTTCAAACTTTGTTATAAAATATTTGGATGCAGGAAATGAAATAACAAGAAAACAACAGCCTAATGTGGTATGAGTTTGCTTATCATTTATAAAAAGTTTTTATTGAAGTAATACTTATAATATAAAATTATTTCAGTGTGCATCACTATAAATCAATACCTAATGTAGATATTACATTGAATTCACTCCTCTATCTTTTAATTTTTGTATTTTTTTTATTGCGATAACAATGGTTTTCAGCATGGTCTATAGGTCCACACCTATTCAGATGTACGTTACAACATCACACCCCTCACCAAAACACCATAATTCTCCACCACAGTCGTGAACACTCTCCTCCTTCTTTCCCCTCCCCACAGCCTCATCTTTGGTGCTCAATTCTACAGTCAAATTTCTGTGGTTAGTTTGTTTTCATTTGCTGTACCTTTGTTTAGTTTCATGACATCTGTTGTCTATCCTTTACTAATGTATATTTTTATATAAATGTTTCCAGTGGGCCTAAATGAAATCAAGTAACCTGAAATGGGATAATGATAATAATCAAGAATTTATTCTACATTTAAATTGGGAAAATAAAAATATTGAAATGGCCGTAAATAAGTTATTTTCTTAGAGGCATGGAGAAAAAATACTGGAGAGCTATAGTATATGATATATAAAATAAAAGCAAAGACATGAGGTTTTCACTACCATATGTGAAATACACCACCATGCATAGATTGAAATCTATGCTAAAAAAGTAATTATAATAAAGTAAAAATAAAAATCCAAATCAACAGGCAAGTATAAACCAGAGACATTCTGCAGGGGGGAGATGGGAGTATGATCAAAACAGGAGTGGGAAGATCACAAGGGACTATGGTGATGGTACACGGGTGAGTGGGTAGTAGGAATTTCACAGAAAATATAACTGAGATGAAAATGCATACATTGTACAAAAATGATATAATAATATATAAAATAAAATGATAATAAAAAGCCTTGGAAAAAAAGGAAAATAGAAAACCTATACTAATGTCAAAATGTTTTTTTCAACAAATGTTTAACTATTTGACTAACATTTATTTCAAGCCCATAAATGAATAGTTATGTTGGAGCCCTATTGATTGTTAAAAAAGAAAGGATTGAGCAAACGAGTCTGTCCTTTCATAGTCACCTTCAAGCTCCTTTTATCTTTCCCTGGTTTCTTTCCATTCCTTCTTAAGTGTTTTCATGACTTGATTCTATTTCAAAGATAGATACCTAATAAACAATATCATCTGTATTATTTTCCTGAAATATAAATATGATATTGTTATTCCAGAATTTTTTCTTCCAATTTATTCACAATCATTTTCAAATTTAAATTCATATACAAATGTTTCTAACTATGCATTGCTTTCAACTTAATGTTTTTTGGTTTTTTTTCAGATTTATTTATTTATTTATACAAGCACTGGGTACAGTCAGAAGCGTGGGAGGGTGAGAGAATTCACCTGAGCCAGAGGGGAGAGCAGAGCAGGCAGACTGATGAAATACACTGTTGAAGGGAGCAGCGGGCGGCAGGAGAGGTCTGCGCGCTATGTGGGACCCTCGCCCAGCAGCCGGGGATCTAACTGGTGCTGCAGAGGCTGCAGGCAGCTTCGCAACCCAGCGCTCAACCACTGCACCCCCAGGGAGGCCCTTAATTTTTTTTTGATTGAGATAAAATTGGTTCACAAAACCATATATGTTTCAGAACATCTCACCCAAGAACACTCATAGTCTTCCACAGTAGTCCATTGTGAACCCTCTGCATTTTGTTCTCAAGTGCCCTCTCTCCTCAATTCTACATTTAGATTGTATAGTTTTCATTAGCCTGGTTTTCTCTATATTCCACATATAAGTGACACCATCTGGTAATTCCACATATAAGTGACACCATGTGCTATTTATTTTTTCCTTCTAATTTTTTCACTTAGCTTATTAATTCCATTTCCATATCCAAGTGCCACAAAGGCAAGAGTTCATCTTGCCTTTTTATAACTAGTGATTGATTTCCATTGTGAATAGACAACGATAGATGTAGATGATATTGATGGATATATTGACATAGATATTGATATGGATATTGTTATGGATGTGGATATATGTCACACTTTTTTTTTTAAAAAAAAAGATTTACTTATTTATACAAGAACCAGGGTACAGGCCAGATGTGCAGGAGAGTGAGGATTCACCAGAGACAGAGTGGGGTATAGAACAGGCAGACTGAAGAAATACACTGCTGAGCGGAGCAGTGGGTGAGGCAGGAGAGGTCTGCTGCATCATGTGGGATTCTCCCTGGCTGGCTGGGATCAAACCCACACTGCAGAGGCTGCAGACAGCTTCACAGTGCAGCGCTCAACTGACTGCGCCACCAGGGAGGCCCATGCCACACCTTCTGAATCTATTCATCTGTTATTAGATGTGGTTATTAATTTGATTTAAACTAAGTATTGTATAGTGCTAAAATCAACATAGGAGTTCATATATTCCTTCAAATTAGTGGTTTATTTTTAACTTCTGAATGTAAATACTTACAACTGTGATTGTTGGATCCCATGTTAGATCTATTTTTAATAATTTCAGAATCTGCTATACTTTTTCCATAGGGAATGGACCAGTCTGCATTCCCCCCAACAATGCACAGGGATTCATTTCTCACATTCTCACCAACTATTGTTTCTGGACTTTTGATGTGGATGGTTCTCCCAGGAATGAGATGGTATCTGTCATTTTAATTTGCCTTCCCCTGTGATAAGTAATAGGGGAATTTTTTTAATATCTCTGATGACCTCCTCCAAAATTTTGGTCAAGTGTCCTTTTAGGTTTTCTTTGTTTGGCTATTTCTTTTTGTTGATTTTTTTATGTACTCTTTGAAGATCTTGATCATAAGTCACCTGTCAAATGTATAATGTGAAAATACTTTCTCCCATTCAGTAGGGTATCTACACATGTTAGTGATAGTTTCTTTTGATGTGCTGAAATTTTTTAGATAGATATAATCACACTAATGCTTATATTCTCTTTTGTTTCTCTTGCTGTACAGATGAATACTCAAGGACATCACTGAAGCCAGTGTTGTAAAATGTTTTGCCTATGTTTTCTATTATGTATTTTTTTTTATTTTAGGACTATGTACAAGTTTTTTCTTGTTTATTTAATTTATTTTTTTCTAAGATTTATTTATTTATTTATACAAGCACCTTGGGGCACAGTCAGAAGCGCGGGAGGGTGAGAGAATTCACCAGAGCCAGAGCGGGGAGCAGAACAGGCAGACTGACAAAGTACACTGCTGAGGGGAGTAGCGGGTGGCAGGAGAGGTTTGTCGGCCATTTGGGACCCTTGCCAGCGACAGGGGATCAAACCGGCATTGCAGAGGCTGTGGGCAGCCTCGCAACCAAGCTCTCAAACGTTGCACCACTGGGGAGGCCCATAATGTACAAGTTTTTAATCCTTCTTTTGATTTAATTTTGTGTAGTGTGAGAAAGTGCTCTAATTTCCTTTTCATGTATGTGGCTGTGGAGAAGAATAGGTAGTAGTTCATTTGTTAGAACTCAGTAATAACACCTTCTGGTCTTGTGCCTTTGTTTTGTGAGGAATTTTAATAAAAATTCAATGCCCTTGGGGCCTCCCCCGTGGTGCAGCGGTTGAATGCTGGGTTGCAAAGCTGCCAGCAGCCTCTGCAGTGCCGGTTCTATCCTGGCCGCTCCCCGGCCACATGGGGAGTGTCCCACATTGCATGCAGACCTCTTCTGCTGTCCGCTGCTCCCCTCAGCAGTGCACTTAGGTACTTCTGCCTGCTCCGCTCTCCGCCCTGGCTCTGGTGAATTCTCTTACCCTCCTGCACTTCTGACTGTACCCATTGCTTGTAAAAATAAATAAATAAATCTTTAAAAATATATATATACATTTAAAAAAAAATTCAATGCCCTTACTTGTAATTGGTCTTTTCATGTTTTTAACTCCTGCCCCATTCAGTTTCAGAAGGATTAATATTTCTGAAAATTTATAGATTTCTTCTAGTTGAAAAACATACTGACATACAAATTTTCATAGAAATCCTCTTTATTTGTGGGATATCAATTGTAATGTACCCTTTTTTTTACCATTTATCAGATTGTTTTCCTTTGTCATTCAAACTACAGGTTTATTTATTTCCTTGACTTTTCAAAGAACCAGCATTTCTATAGCATTTCATTGACATTTTGGGTTTTATTTTCAATTTGTTATTCTTTGTATGTGCTCAAATTTTATCATGCCTTTCCTTTTGCAGACTAATGTTTGTTTTTTTCCCTCCCTTTGTGGTACTTAATTTGAGAGGTAAAATTATTTCTTTGAGTTCTCCTTGTTTTTTCATGTGGGTCAGTGTTGCCATATACTTGCAGTTTAGTTGTGCTTTTGTTTTGCACAGTTTCTGGTACATTGCTTCTTCATTTTCATT